CATCTTCTGTTTTCAGTGCCTGAACCATCTGCAGGTGCCTGTTAGAAACACTGATTCCAAACTTCCCCTCAAGACTTCTCTTCACCATCTGTCAGGAAATATGCACTTGAGCAAAAGATTTGAAGAGAAACATCATTGAAAGTTGTACGTGTCTTTGTCAAAGTACCTTATAAAATTAATTTCTTCTGGAATATTTCATTCTTCAGTTGATTTTATTGGCTGTATTTTAACAACATATTTTGTCATGGGTTGTGGATTTTTGTTGAGCTTTCTTACTTCGGATGGGTGGGTCTGTTTAGTTTGTATTTCTTTCTCTTTTATCCTCCTCCAACCCCAAACACACATTATGTGCCTGGGAGTTCTGAGCTGTCTCCATCCAGCCCGGAAGATCTCCAGACACAATCACGCTCCACGCTAGTGCTTTGGGTTCCTGCTGTGCTGTCAGATGGGAAATGTCACTGGTCCAGGCCGTGAGCCACCGGCAGCTCAGCTGAGTTCCTGGATGTGAATCCATATCTGTGTCCTTGTTTCCCCCGAGACTAGCAGCTTTCTAAAAGCCAAAGTCCCAGGTGGAATTGGGACAAAGTCATTTAGTTTCAGCATCCTTGCACCTGTGCTTCGAGGCGAGGAGCCTCACCCCAGCCCCTGGCCTCACGCCGTGAGCTGTGCACGAGTTCCTGTGTGCAGTGAGCACTTTTAGTCCCCTTTACAGGAGTCAAGCCCTGGATTCCAGTGCTGCTTCCGGACCTGGGAGCCACTAGGTCCTCCTTGTAGCCCTGCTCGCATTTGGCCTTCCTGTCTCTTTCTTCGTGCACAGAGAAGATCATCTCCTTTATGAACTTTGCTCTATCTCCTCCCCATTAATAACTATCCTGCCCTTTCCATGGGTTTGGAGCACAGGGGTTGAGGAAGGAACTAACTGAGCCATCTTGACTGAAAGTCCCAACGAAATCTTCATCTTATCTGGAAGTAAAGGTGGAAGAGACAAAATGTGTTTTATCGAACTGCATGTATTTTCTAATCTTACTGTTTTACTTAAGCAAGGTTTTTGGTCTGAAAAGGTAAGAACCTGGAGGTTTTGTTTCCAGTTTGTCTCTCCAGACAAGCGGTGCTCTTCCTTCTAACTTTACAGATCTGCTGGCACCACGATTTGGAGGCAGGCACCTCACAGCAGCAGCAGGAGCAGTGGGACCCCATCCTCCACAGATCACACTTCAGCAGAAGTAGGTAGATGCCTGTGGTGGACAGAATAATGGCCCCCAATGATGTCCACGTGCTAATACCCAGAACCTGTGAATCTGTTACCCTCCCTGGCAAAAGGGACTTTGCAGGTGTGGCTCAATTAAGGATCTTGAGATGGGAGAGTAGCCTGGATTACCCAGATGTGCCCAATGTAATCCCAAGACTCATTAAAAGCCGAAGAGGGAGAGGAGAGATTCAGAGTCAGAGAGCTATGAGGATGCTGTGCTGTGGGTTTTACACGTAGAGGAAGGGACTGCGAGCTCAGGAATGCAGGCGGCCTCTAGGAGTGGGAAAAGGCAGGAAACAGTCTCCCCAAGAGCCTCCTAAGGGATAGCAGCCTGGTTGGTGCCTTTCTGTGAGTCAATGAGACCCATGCAGTTTCTAACATCCAGAACTGTGAGATAATGAATCTGTGCTGCTTTAAGCCACTGTTTGTGGCAATGTGTCACAGCAGCAACAGGAAACTAATGCAATGTCATGATCCCAAGCTAGGCCCCCCACCTCTGACTGCAGATACCTCAGTCAGGCGGGGCTCAGCCGTGGAATGACCCCAGAGACCGTTACCCACTCAGCAGCACTCAGAGACTTTGCTTTCCTAACACAGGGCAGCTCAAGGCCCTTTGGCTTTAAGAAAGCCTCCCTATTTCTACTCACTGGAACCTAATCTCCCAGAGCCAAGAGCTGTGCTCATCTGCTTCCCTGCTTGGCGGTAAAACTTTTCCAACCAGAGCTCAGTCTTTCATCTCATATTCTCCATTGCTTTTCCTTTAGCATTCCAGAATAAAATCATTAATAAACCAAATCAAAACAAAACAAAAAATGGCAACGTGGACATTCCCTGATTCCAAGTCTCCCGCTTAATGCTGCATGCCTCTTTTCCTCTTCACAGTTGGCTCATTAAATATCAGTCTCTGCTCATGGTCTCTTCTGCCTTCCCTACCCGTTCCCAGTCATTCTCAATCCACTGCAACTGCATTCTCTCTCCAACATCCCGACAGAAGAAGTGCAATCATGCTCATCAGTGATTTAGCTGTTAATGCCAACAAGCAATTCTCAGTTTACTTAACTTGACCCATCGTCAACATCTGACACTCCTGGGATGCCTCCTTCATGAACATCTTTCATCCCATGGGGCCTGGGGGACCACGCTTTCCTGGTTTTCCACCTGCGTTTCTGTCTACTCTTCCCTTTGCAGGCATGACTTTGAAGATGGTGCACCTCCAGTTCCTTCTATATTCTCTTTACCCTCTCTATTCCAGTGAACACATACTGAGTGAGCATCTGACCCATTGTAGGCATTCCGGCAGGTGTGCACCAGGCAATCACATTCACTCCTACAGCCTCAAAACACCAGTCACTCAGGATCCCAGATGATTATATCCGGCACAATTTCTTTCCGGAACTGAAAATTTATGGGCTGAACTACCCACTGCAGAGTTCCAGTTTCATGTCCCTCTGACCAACCCTAACCTAACCCATCATCTTTCCTTCCCAAATGTACTCTTTCTCCCATATACCTTATCTTTCTTGTTGGCAAGCTAAGAACCTGGGACGCATCCTCCATTCCGGGCTCCATCATGCAGCCCTAAACCCCTACATCCTTTCAGTCTTTAAACCGTGTATTTCATATTTTCAGAAAATAGGGAGGCAAGGCTACTGAGTAAGAGTGGGGTGAAATCATGCTAGCTCTGAGAATTTAGAGAAGAGAAGACAGCATTACCCAGAAGAATCTGGGAGATGATCAATTGAATAACTATTTTCTTGGCACCTTTGATAATCTGTTCTACTTATATTCCAATGTGTCCAATATGTTTTCAGTATCTTTATCCTAAACAACAGCTCCCATTGCTATTCTGCAGTCCTGAATGTGTTGTGAAGGAAAATGTGTTCATCACTTCTCACGTGCTTTATAGGATCGCAGGTGCCCGTTGTCCTCAGACCTGAATTCCTTTCAATAGCACTCTCCGTTTCTAATTTGCCTCCCTAACTCCCGTTACTATCACAAGGACTAGGCTGAGACAGGAGACGCTGGCCCTGTCAGAACTGCCTGGCCCTCACCTCCCACACCTTCCCGTGTGGCAGATTTGCAGTTAGCTCCACTTGAATTCCTTTCTGCATCATTTAGTTGCTGTTGCAAAGAGATAATTTAATCTCTGAAATGAAACCGCCAGGGCCCCTGGCTGGGCTTGTGACTAGTCCAGCAGCACAGAAGCTTCTCCTGGCGTTTGAGCTTGTAGTTGTAGTTGTGAAACTCTCACTAATTTTATCTTTGAGTCTGTTTCGTGTGTGTGGAGCCTGAAGGGACAGTGGGGCGTGTACGGGGCCTGGAATGTGGAATCCCGGGACGGGTGATTGGCCTGCATCCCCTCCTCCCCTCCTCGCTGGGATGGACGCTCAGCTGTCTCCACCCCCTGGCACCTTGAGCCCAGTCCAGGTCCCCACTCCCCACCTGGACCTATACCCTGGCCGCCTCTCCCCGCGGCGTCCGAGGACCCGATTGACACAGGGAGGGTTGCGTCCGTCCGGCACACATTCCGCAGTCCAGGGCGAGGGTGGCGGTTGTCACCCCACCGCAGGCTGCTGGGGCCACAACATCTTCAAGGAGCAACTCAGGGGGACCAAGACTCTCACCCACCCCCAATCCAGGTGCCGAGTGGGTCCCGATGTGGACGTCGCAACCCCTAGGGGCTCGCCCTTCTGCCTGTGGTTGAGGAGGCCGACCCAGGATAGGGCAGATGCCTGCTCAGCTTCCTCACCTGCAGCCTGGGCCACACATGTCGTCTCAGTGGTTGGCGGAGGGGGACCCTGACGGCGGGTGGGCCAGGCGTGCTGCGGTGCAGGGCCGGGTCTGCACTTGCCCTCAAACATCTCCCAGCGCAGGGGGTGGAACGTTCCCCCACGAAATGCAACACCAGGCAGGTCAGAGAGACCAAGGAGGGGAGGAAAAAGCTTTAACCCGAGGGCACTTTTTTCCGTGTTCTTGAACAAAGATCTCTGCATTTTTATTTGCCCTGGGCCCTGAACATCTTGTAGCCAATCTTGTAAATAGGCAGTAAGTAGCATAACTCTCAACCACTGGGCAAGGCTATTTCAGGACAGTGAACTTACAGAAATCTGCTGGCTATGAAAATTACAAGTATTTCCACAGAGTAACAGAGCACAGGGAAATAACGTTGTAGAACTTATTAATTATAACTATCAAAAGAAAGTTTCCTTGCAGGATTCACACCTCACTCTGTAGGGACTCCTTGTGAGGACTTTATAAGGTGCGAAGTTTATTGGCTGCTTCCTACAACATCCTAGGGGCTACCTTCTCCTTCAACGTGAAGGTGGGGTGTCTATTAAAAGGTGACCTTTCAAATATGCAGTTATATTATATGTGATTATCCTTCATGAGGACAGAAGAGCTGCACATGTGTAAAGGACCAGGTATTTAAATGAAATTTCTTCCATTAGTGAGATAATGCGAATTTTGGCCTGGTGAAAATTCTTAGTACATTTGCATGGAGTTAACTATCAATGAGGCTTAGATGTAGTTACAGAAATAATTACATAAATTAAAGACAGAAAGGATAAATTTCTGAGTTTTTGAAATTCTTTAATTTCTCCTTATAATTAAAATGGAAAAAGGAAGGACGTGAGGCAGTATGTAAAAGCACTTGCTCAAATATGCAGTGTGACTTTTTTTTAATTTTCAGCATTGAAAACTATTGTTCCGACCACAAGGAGGGGCAGAAAGACACCACCACCTGCAGATCATGAGCCACAGTCCTTCCCCACCTGGCATGGTGCAGCTCTGCTACGAGGGTGTGAACGGGTCTTGTATTAAAACTCCCTACTCGCCAGGAGCCCGGGTGCTTCTGTACGCAGCGTTTGGCTTGGGCGCTGTGCTGGCTGTGTTTGGAAACCTCCTGGTAGTGACTGCCGTTCTTCACTTCAAGCAGCTGCACTCTCCCGCCAACTTTCTCCTCGCCTCTCTGGCCTGCGCTGACTTCCTGGTGGGGGTCACTGTGATGCCCTTCAGCATGGTCAGGTCCGTGGAGAGCTGCTGGTACTTTGGAGCCAGATTCTGTGCCCTCCACAGTTGCTGTGATGTGGCATTTTGTTACTCTTCTCTCTTCCACTTGTGCTGCATCTCCATCGACAGGTACATTGCTGTCACTGACCCTCTGGTCTATCCCGCCAAGTTCACGGTGTCTGTGTCAGGGATGTGCGTCAGCATCTCCTGGATCCTGCCCCTTGTCTACAGCGGTGCTGTGTTCTACACAGGTGTCAGTAACGATGGGATGGAGGAATTAGTAAGTGCCCTCAACTGTATAGGTGGTTGTCAAATTGTTGTAAATCAAGACTGGGTGTTGATAGACTTTCTGTTATTCTTCATACCTACAGTTGTCATGATAATTCTTTACAGTAAGATTTTTCTTGTAGCTAAACAACAAGCTATAAAAATTGAGCACACTGGTGGCAAAGCAGAGTCATCCTCGGAGAGTTATAAAGCCAGAGTGGCCAAGAGAGAGAGAAAAGCAGCTAAAACCCTGGGGGTCACAGTGGTAGCATTTCTGATTTCATGGTTACCGTATACAATTGACACGCTTGTTGATGCCTTCATGGGCTTCGTAACCCCTGCCTATATTTATGAGATCTGCTGTTGGGGGGCCTATTATAACTCAGCCGTGAACCCTCTGATTTATGCTTTATTTTATCCTTGGTTTAGGAAAGCCATAAGGGTTATTGTGAGTGGGGAAGTTTTGAAGGATAGCTCCTCAACCATTAGTTTATTTTCAGAATAAATGCAAGCACTAAGTGGAGAAATTTAAGGATATTTTCAAAACTATGAATTTATGATGAAATTAGATATAAGAAATGAAGAAAACCTTTCAAAACTAGAGAAATATAGTCTTTTTTCAAATTAGCCAAGAACAAACCTACAAAAATGTGCCTCCATTATAACATTGTGAAGATATTTACTGCACTAAATAATAATAAACAATAAACTGGTTTCCATGTGTCACCTGTCTCAATGTTCTGTACATGTCCTTACCACCCACAGTTGTTTCTTCCAGCATCACTGAATTCTGAATCTCATCTCTGGCTGTGAAATCTCAAATTATTTTCCCTTTTATGCTCAACTCCCATTTGTCGTCAAATGGTCTTTCTCTCCCTGACTTTCCGACGCTGTGTTGGTGTATGAGGCCATTATAGCGATGCTCCGCAGACCGCACGGCTTAAACTACAGACATTTATTTTCTCATGATTTTAGAAGCTAGATCTCCATTATTGATGTGTCAGCAGGGTTGGTTTCTTCTGAGGTCCCCCTTTGTCTTGTGGATGGCTGTCTTCTCTGTGCTCACACGGTGTCTCTGTGTGTGTCTGTGTCCTCATCTCTTCATATAAGGACACCTCTCATATGGGATTCGGGCTCAACCTTGAAAACCTCATTTTAGCTTAATTACCCTTTAAGATCTTATCTCCAAATCTTGTCCACTCTGCAGTCCTGGGAGTTAGGACTTCCACATAGGAACCTTGGGGGACACGACTCAGCCCATCACAAACACTGTCCAGATTTGACGACACCACCCAGAGATCTGCCTGTTTGCTGCTCCTCTGTGATTCTTTCTTCCTGTTCCTTTACTGTCTGTACCTTCCAGGAGTTTTTGTGGCAGCAGGTAGGTCTCTCCTGCTTAATGGCTGGGAGGATCTTGGAGCATTCTCCCCGTGATATTGTGGGACCAATAACCCAGCCTTGTGATCATGGACCAACTACAGACATTGCCCAGAAGTGAAAAATTGCAAGTGGAGACATTTAACATGAAAAGGCTTGGACAGAGATCTTTAGCAAATGGATATTCTGCAAGTGAGAGAATCATCAATTATCACCAGCAGTGGCCATTTCTATTGTAACTTTTCTTACCTGAAATTAGAGTGTAATTCACTTCCCCAACTTTTCTCAGCTGCTTTCTCCCTGAATACAGTGTGTATTTCTCTTCCCCAGAATGTTGTGGGGTCAAAAATTCTATGCTAATGTGGCAAAAATCTCCTATTAAAAAGGGCATAAACAATATATACTGTAATTTTACATTTTGGTCTCTGGAATATTTTATGCTGTTGATTCAATAAAAGTGTTTTTGGAATGCATATATAGAGTGTATACATTTGTATATTGAAATTAAATTGTCATAGATAATGGTAAGTAAACATTTTTCTTATGGTTTATCTGTGGATCATTCAATTAAAATGATTGAAGCATTTTTTTCCAGTTGGTTTTCACTAAGACTTTTCATTCTTTTCAAACAAATATTGAGCATTAATTATATTCTAGTGCCTGTGTCAGGAACATCTAAGGATAAAAACTTTACATTATATAGTATATTCCTCAGAGAAAATAATTTTTCAGGTAATATGGATAACACATTTTAAATGATATTATTGAGGGCCAAAAGAGTGTTGGAGATGCTAAGTCCTGCAAGAACCAGTGCCGTCACAAGGCTGGTACTTGGCGTTGGGCATTCCATTCCTATAACACTGTCTTCTCACCCACATGTGGTTCCATGGCCTAAGGGGTTAAAAAAATTGTTAAAGAATATTTTATTTTTTGAGTAGAAAGGACTTTTGATGGGTCTTCAAGCGCGTTTGGACTTAGTAGGCAGACAGGAGAGTGGACAGCTTCTTTATGACAAGAAGATTAATTTCCATAAATAGAGAATCGGACTTGGCAAACTGGAAGACAATGACTAGATTGGTAGCGTGATAAGAATCAATAAATAAAGTTTCATGCTATACTTACTCTACTCCATAGATCAGATTAGCTGTAACAGAGTTAAAAAATGATACCATGTGCCCTAGCTTTAGAGTGTAGAGGAGAAACACCAGAAAAAATTCAGTGAAAGAGTTGGATAATTGCTCCATTCAATAAATGTCCTACAGCATTGCACTATTGCTAAATTAAATTATCAATATTGAATATAACAGAACTTCAAAGGTAAATTCAAGATTTTTGAAATTTATCCTATGGGCAAGTGAAATATTATATTGTTATGAATGACACCAAAACCTTCAATACAATTCTAAATATGGAATTTCTTTTGAACATGTAGAGGGTATGTGGAACATCACAAAGAAGAGGGAAGACGTGAGATTAGATTCTTCCATATACTTCATGATAGTGTTTCCTAAGTGTGACTGCCCTAGGTACGCTGCTCAGGGCTCTCTCATTCTACAAGCGTATAATGCCCTCGTTGTTCCACGTGTAACCTCCTTGGCCATAGATGACCGAAGTAGCTGGAAACATGATTTCAGGAAAGCTCATCAACAAACCTATCGACAGCAAACCTATCAGTGGATTTAAAAGTCCAGCTCTGGTACTTTGGGCGAAGCTTCTGCACTTTCCACACGTGCTGTGATGCGGCATTTTGTTACTTTTCTCTCTTCCACTTGTGCTTCGTCTCCATCGACAGGCACATTGCTGTCACTGACCCTCGGGTCTATCCCACCAAGTTCACGGTGTCTGTGTCAGGGATGTGCTTCAGCCTCTCCTGCATCACCCGCCTTGTCTACAGTGGTGCCGTGTTCTACACAGGTGCCCCTGAGGCGGGGATGGAGGAACTAATAAGTGCCCTCAGCTGCGTAGGTGGTTGTCAGCTTGTTGTAAACCAGTTTTGGATTTTGCCGGATTTTCCCTTATTTTTCACACTTACCTTTGTTTTGATGATTCTGTACAGTAATATTTTCCTTGTGGCCAGAAAACAGGATAAAAAGATTGAAAAAATTAGTGGCAAAGCAGGAAGATTATCAGGACGTACAAGACCAGGGTGACAAAGAAAGAGAGAAAAGCAGCTAAAACCCTGGGTGTCACAGTGGCAGCATTTTGATCTTATGGTTCCCGTATGTGACTGATTCATTCACTGACTTCTTTCTGGGTTTTATAATCTTCATATGTTTATGAGATATTTGCTGGTTCAGTTATTATAATTCTGCTCTAAATCAATTGATTTATGCTTTGTTTTACCCTTTGTTTAGGAGAGAATAAAACTTACTATTATTGGCCACATATTAAAAGACACTTCTTCAATTGTACATTTACTTTCTAAAGAGGCCTAATTATCAAATTGAGGGATTTGTGACATTCTGGGAATTTCCCAGCAGCTTTGACATGAAATACACGGCATGAAAATGTCCATCAAATGGGGGAGGGGAAATGGTGCCTCAGTTTCAGCAGCACAGCCTCATGCTTTTCTTTCTTGGTGAGGTGAGCATCTTTACACATTTGATAGAAACATATTTACTAAATAATGGTAGACACAAGGTTCGTATTTCTAATTTCCTCAAATCTGGGCTGTCGCCTGCTCTGTTGTTTTCCTCTTCCGGGCCTCCTTTCCAGGTCCCTTTCTATCCCTGTCAGAGGCTCCTGTTCCCTGTTCCCTGGGAAATTCTGTGTCCCGGTCTCTCTCTGGACTCTGTTAACTTTGCCCTCATGTCAGCAGCTGGTTTCCTGGGGCCCCGTCTTTCTGGGTGCTGAGAGCTCTCTGAGCCTCATCCAGCAGCATTCCAGACTCTGGGCGGGACTCCCGTTTCATAATTGGGGGAGATTTTGTAAATGTGTGAATAACCGTGAGCAGATGGTGCAATTTCTACAGCTGTGATTGTCCTTTCCTGTGGCTGTTCCCTCATTTCGTGAGGTGTGTTGTTTTACTTTCCCCTCTTGATGGAGGGCAATTTCTGTCACATTTTCTCTGTAAATACTATCCAGAGTTTGTACATTGTTGATGACAAAACTAACAATGTATTGTGAGTTATGGGAGAAGGATGGATTATGTAAAAAATTGGTTGGCCAGGCCCGGTGGCCTAGTGGTTAAGTTCAGTGCACTCTGCTTTGGCAGCCAGGGTTCAGTGCTCTGGTGTGGACCTAGACTGCTCTGTTGGCAGCCATACTGTGCTGGCACACATACTGAAAAACAGAGGAAGATTAGCACAGATGTTAGCTCAGGGTGAATTTTCCTCAGCAAGGAAAAAAAGGGAAATTGTGAGTGGTATATATCTTCTTGGAAAAATATTGTTGAGCATTCTGCCTCATGTATTTCACAAAATCAAAACTAATTTCCTTCAGATGTTAAAAAACTAAAAGAAGATATTTCTTTCATATTTTTTCATTGGAGGCATCATGACTGAAAACACATAGATTCATGTGCTTTATTTAAATTTTTTAAACTTCAAATGAAAACAAAGCCAAGATTTTTTTAAAAAAAAAGGGCAAGCTGGGAAAACTATTGACATACAAGATGAGGAAAGATTTCATGGGGTTTAAAACATGAAGGCCTTTCACAAAACAGTAAGACAGAGACAGACATCTCACTAGACATGTGCACAGGCAATTGTACAGAGGAAAAATACAAATGGCCAATAAATATATTAAAATGCCGAATGTACAAATAATCCAAAATGCTAATGAAAGTGTGATATTTTTAGGTATTGAGTTGGCAAATATTAAGAGGAGCAATAACGCTCGAGGTTAGCTGGAGTGCAGGAAGATAGGCGCTCCTGCAATGGTGGGGCACGATCACAGACATCGCCAGAAAATGTAATTTAGTTTCTCCTTTCCAAGGAAATTGAAAAATTTTCATACACATTTAAATCACACATGTTACTTGACTCTGTAGTTCCATTTCTAGCAAGTAATCCTGAGAAAAGAGCCAGACAAGGAAGCGAACATGACCAGGACATTCAGCGTAGAACTCGCCATTATGAACTGGAAACATCTGGATCACTATGGGATAAATTAATTATGCCCCAGCCATGTCATGGAATGTTATGAAGCCATTGAAAAGCTCTTAGAAGTTCTGTATAAATGGACGCAGAAAGATAACCACAATATATTTTTTAACCAAAAACAAAGAAATCCAAAAACTCTGGCCCAGATTACAAATCAGT